CAGATCGGCGCACAGAATTTGCAGAATGAACAAAACAAAAGTTCGAACAGGACCCTCAGTTCATGCAGAAGATTTTGTTCAGTGATGAGGCAAACTTTTATGTGAATGGTGAAGTGTATAGGAATTTCTTTTACTTATGTATTAATCACATTATTTTATTGTATAATACCTTGGTGCCACTGGATTTTAACATGTCTCACACTCATACAGTAAGCCAAATGGTGGGGGTCTAGTAAGTAAGTTAGGGGAAGCAAACAACTCCACAGGAAGAATCTTTTGTCTCTTTGATGACTTTGGGAGGTAGCAAGGGAGTGTGAACCTTAAGGTGTGAAACGTACTGCCTTTCGTTCCTGAAGAAGGTATTTAACTGACAGCCATGCTAGGCTCAGGTGAGACTAGCATGGTCATGTAGGTCATGTAGGCTCTCCACCAACTTGGTTGTCTGTTCTTTGTGTTTTGATTAAAGAATGTTACCCCTCACCGCTTGTCTGCAGGCTTTAATTAATGGAAAACTTCCACAACATGAAGTTAACAAACAAAACCACCGCTATTGGTCTGACACTAACCCACATTGGATGGATCCTCCAAGACTGTTGGACCACCAAAGTGATGGTTTGGTGTGATATATGGGGTACAACGATAGTGGGTCCATTCTTCATCAATGGAAACCTCAAGGCCACTGGTTATTTGAATTTGCTACATGATGATGTGTTTTCCTCTTTATACACTGAAGCTGGCACGTTCCCTGAGTTTTTCCAGCAAGGCCAGTTGAATGGCCCCCAAAGTCTCCCGATCTGACCCCCTTAGACTTTTATCTTTGAGGGTCATCTGAAGGCAATTGTCTATGGTGTGAAGATACGAGATGTGCAGCACCTGAAACTATGGATGCTGGATGCCTGTGCTGGCATTTCTCCTGCGGTGTTGCTATTAGTGTGTGAAGAGTGGGAGAAGAGGGTTGCATTGACAATCCAACACAATGGGCAGCACATTGAACACATTTTATAGGTGGTCAGAAACTTGTAAATAACTCATGAAAGAATAAAGTTACGTTGAAACCAAGAACATCATTGTTTTTCTTGTGACATTACCAATAAGTTTGATGTGTCACATGGCCCTCTTCCTATTGAAAAAGCAAAAGTTTGCCCCCTCACATATACTAATGTGCCACAAACAGGACTTTAATATCACCAACCATTCCCATTTTCTTACGGTATATCCATATAAATGGCCCACCCTGTATATGTTACACCCTCTGAGTTGGATACTTGGATATGTCCACATATGTGAGCTGTCCTGGGTTCAAATTACTTTGGACACAGACGAGCCAAGGTGGCATTTATGCCAGTTACTAGTTCTTACTTATTTCACACAAAAAAAGAGTGGTCACATATGTATTAAGCTGCTTTCACATAGAAAGCCTGATGTTCTGAAACCCACTCCTTTCTCTGGTTTGTGCTGTGGAATAACGATATCCTTTTGGCATTGAGCAAAATGCAGCCTTTCTGCTGCTTTTAGGGGTCCTCACAGCAGTTCATCTGCCTCCTAGCATCCCTAGCATCCTCCTCTGTCACACCAACCCTCTGCATGTCCTCTATTTTAGAACATCCATTAACCTCCAATAAAAGTATTTGAAACTAATGAAATATTTATTATTGTTCATAACTATTTGGAACAATTCAAAAAAGTTGTTTCTGCACATCTGGATGTGTTTTTTTAATTGTCTCGTGGATGAAGCACATGTATGAAGTTTTTGCCACTGCCAAAAGTTTTGATCTGTTGCCTCACAGATACAACGTTCTGCCATCATACATAACTGATATGCCTATTATAAATGTTTATAATAAGTCATGACTAATGTATTAATGTACTAATTAATGTACTAGTGACAAGGACAGAATTATTAAACAGAAAGCAAAACTTCATTTAGTCAGCAACAGAAAACAAAGTCCATCAATATAAACAGAAGTCACACTGAGGATATAAATAGCAACAGTGGAAGACTCAATGGACAAGGGGCTATATTGTACACACACACACAAGTTACAAACCAACCTGGAAATATCTTCTGAAAGTACGACACTCAAAATTTATTGTATACAGACACTGAAGAATGAAACCAATTTAAACCGCACCCAGCAAATGTATTACAAATGTATTACTGTTACGTTCTGTGAGGCTGTGGGAGTGTGTGGGTGGGGTGTTTGCCCGCTCTCCCCGCCTCCTCCTCTCTTGCCACTCCTACCCCCTCTGTCTCTCTCACTCTCCTCTCTCCCCAGGACACAGCTGCTTCTGATTAGCCTCGTTTGCCACCTGACTCCAGTCAGCAATCACCTCTGAGGCTATTTAAACTGGGGATGAGCTGTGAGCAGGGTGGTTTTTCCCCTCTGTGGCGCTACACGGTTTTGTGCTAGGTTTTGGACAGACAGACAGCCTCTTTCTGACTAGTGAGTAGATGGGCTTGTGGGCCCTGAGAGTGTCTCCCCGTGGTGAGGAGTAGGGTAGGAAGTGTGGGAAATGCCTCCCTTTTTTTTGTTTAGTAGTCTTCTTGCCTTTTGTTGCTGCGAGTGTTTCCTTTAATTTTTGTGTTTCCTTTGTTTCTTTGGCATTGTTGGTAAAACGGCGTTGCCGGCTCTTTAAGTTAATGTCGTTTGTAATACACCTGTACCATTCGTAATAAAGCTATATTAATACAGAATCTGTCTGTTTTCCTTTTCATTCTGATTCCGGACTCATTTGTTAGTGGTCCCCTCACCCACATGCCTAGACCCCTTCGGGGGGAACGTAACAATTACTAAGGATTATCACAGAAAATCTGCCACAAAATAACAGATAAAATTCACAAGCAATCATTTTTGATTGGCTAAAAAGAATTGTATGACTAAAAATACCATGACCAAAATATAAATAAAATATTAAAACAACTCAGAAAATCTTAAACCTATTTAATCAAGCAGTAGAACAGATATATGCTGTCCAAATGTGACACAATTACATGATGCTAATGAGTTTAGAGCATTACATGTATCTTAGAAAACAAGTTAATCTCTTTTAATCATGGGTGTGTTTTGTTTCTATCCACCACCATTATTGAATCTGCTTTATCAGCTTCCTGGTATGTTATGCAATCTCTACCTATTGCTCCTGCAGCAATGCCTACAGCTACACTCAATCCAACACCAATTAATATTACCCCAGCTGCTCTCATTACAGGGCTTAATGGTATTTCTAAACCCTTCACTATTTTAACTGTAACTTTAAAAACAAATCTGTGAACTAATGTATAATTCTACTAGTGACTCCAAGGACAGAATATTTTTAAAAAATACAAAACTTTATTTATTCAGGAATAGAAAACAAATCCCAGCATAACCCAATAACATAGGGTTATGCTGTACATATAAGTTGCAAACCAACCTGGAAATATCTGCTTCAAGTACAACACTCAACATTTATTGTATGCAGACACTGAAGAGTGAAACCATCTTAAACCATAGCTAGCAGGACAATGTATGACAAATTTTTTACTGAGGATTATCACAGCAATTTTTCCAAAAACTAAGAGATAAAATTAACAAGCAATTGTTTTTGATTGTCTAAAAGGAAATATATGAATTAAAAAGGCAAAGACAGAAATACTGGAATAACACAAAAAAGCTTTAAACCTATATAGACATTGTAAGTAGCCTAAGAAAAGCAAAGTTATGAAGCAGTAGAACAGATAAATGCTGTCCAAATGTGACGCTATAAAATGATGATAATGAGTTTAGAGTATTACATGTTTCTTAGAAACATGTTAATCTCTTTTAATCAGGTGTGTGCTTTGTTTTGTTTGAGTGTTTGTGAGAGTACTTACTGCTTCTACAGCTAGTTCACCAAGAGCCTCAGTTGTGTTCATAACTGCCTCCATTATTGAATCTGCTTTATCAGCTTCACGATATCCTACACAACCCCCACCTATTGCTCCTGCAGTAGCAGCAAGGCCTGCAACCACACCCAATCCAACACCAGTTATTGAAAGTTTTGCTTGTACCACTCCTGCCACTACAGGGCTTAATGCTGTTTTCAGTATTGGAATAACAGCTGCAATCATTATTGGCACACCAAGCAGTGCTCCCAACAGCATCCCTGTGGTAACACCAGCAGCCATCTTGAGAGCATTGTAGACTCTGTTCTTTGCCTCCTCTCTGATTTCTTCCCATGACATGACTCCTGATGATGATCTAATGCTCTCTTGCTCTTGTTGTATTGCCTTCTCCACTTCTTGTAGCATCTCATTTGTGTAACAACCTCCGTCATTGTTCCTCACCATCTCTTTTATTGTGTTGAGCAGCTTTTCCCTCTGCAGCTGGTTGTTTCTGTATTCATGCTGTGGGTTGTTGTTCCAGTGTTTGTTATCAAAGACGTGGCAGCGCCCACCACATCTCTCTAACAACTCACGTAGACGGTTGTTGCCCCTGCAAAACTCTTCTATCTGCGTTCCTTCAGGAAGATCATCACCACGAGTGAAGACAAGCACAGCATATCTGAAAGCTTCTTCAGAAAAAGACTCTATGATTTTGGTAATAACCTCGTACTCATGATCTGTGAATCTCTCCACTTTCAGTAAAATAAGAAAAGCTTGAGGTCCAGGAGAACACTCTACGACACACCTTGCAATCTCATTTCTCAAACCCTCTTCAGACGTGCGATTGTCAAAGAAACCAGGAGTGTCAATTATAGTAACAGATGTTCTATTCACCACTCTGGTAGCTTTCGTACACTGACTTGTTCCAGAGGTTGCAGTATGATCTATCTCAAACACCTCTTCCGTCTCTCCAAATATGGTGTTGGCCAAGCTGCTTTTCCCACTTCCAGATTTTCCCAGCAGGACAATCCTCAGGGGATCTGCACATAAGAGAATAATTACTTCCTAATTTCTTTTCAATATTTGGCATACTTCTCTGTTTCATATCATCAAACACATTTTAATATGTATGGAGGACCACAAGAGCCACGCGCATCGAAATAAAGAATTCTGTGCTTAAATAATAAATTGTAGAATAAATTCTGCATTTGTAAATGCCACATTAATAAACTGATTTTCAAAATGCTTTTTAAAATGGCGATTCCACTCCTCATTTCAAAATCCATTTCCCTTAGTAGTTGGATTAGCAACTTTGTTTTAAAAACCCTGCTGCAAGGTAAATTAGCCACACTGTGTGATGTAAGGAGCTAAAAAGAATTTAGCAAAAAATGCCTAAAAATAAAAGAAAATATATCTCACCTTCCATGATCAAAAAGGAAGTTAATGTAGTGTCACAAGAATTCAGGTTAATATCAGCACGTCCCTTTTCTGTTGTTGTTGTCTTTGTTGTCTGACTCAGATATGACACTTATTTTCGTTTCACTTCTGACTGGGCTGCACTCCCAGGATTCTTTTTTTCTTTTGTAGACAGGTTGTGAACAAAATGAACATCTGTGTGAGCAAAGAAAAATTAAAATTCCAGTTTGTACAGAGCAAAATGTTTTCCTTACGTTTCTGGCTGTTCATCAGAAAGCAGACATGTCGTCGGTGTAAACAGTTCTCATCTTGGCTGAATTTTGTCTGCCGTCTCCTCTCAGCTCTGATCTTATAGTTATTGCGTAGTCACATGACTCAGCTGCACTGAGAAGAGTTATGTAGCTGTGATGGAAAGTCTTATGGCTCACCTCACTAAAAAAAGAGCTCAAGGGTCTCTTCGGATTTTTTGTTTCTTAAATTATTACTAAAAATAAATTATCTCTAAAATTAATTACCAATGTATAAAAGATACATTATATTTATTTAAAAACAAATAACCATCATGAATTGATAAAAAAGGATCCAATGTTTGATCTGTGTGAGTAAAGACTAAAACTGGACTTGAAAAACTTAATATTGTTAAAAGTTTTAAAGCGAACATCTAAAAAAACTTTCTCTGCATGTTTCTATTTCCACTGCTCTGTAGCAGTGGAAAGAGAGCAGTGGGTAATCAGGTTTCCAACTAAAACGCTGACATTCATTTTTATGTATTTGAATGCCTGCCAAAACATTTTGATCAGAACAGCCAAAGAATCAGATAAAAAGTGAAATAATCTGATCAGTCCTGTTTTCTTTTGTCTATACCAAGATATCAACATTTTAAAAACAACCCTCAATTTTTCTTAAACTCTTTAAAGCTGAATATTGGCGTCAGGAGAGGATACATTTCTTAAAGTGTTTTTGTAGTTGACTAACAGACTGTTCCGGCCGTACTTGCTAAAACAACAGGCTTTTTTAAATTAATTACACAACATCATATTTTATACCTTAATGTGAAAGAAATCTGATTTGAGCATAAATCTGATTTTTAAACTATTAGATCTTTATTTACTGCATTAAGCTCTTATAGTTTCATCAGAGATATTAAGGAAAACTATAAATTGTTTAAACAAATCATTAGTAAAGTAACCATCATTTGGTTTTATGACAGGTGTAGGTATTTCAGTGTTTTTAAGTATTTCTAAATATTGCACTCACATTCTTATACTGCAAATGATTGTTGACAATTCAATTTCTCCATTTCATTTTCTTCTTACTTCTTATTTATTTTTATTAAAAACTGTCAGGGAGAAAAATCTACACTTCTGAATACTAACCAATATTATTTTGAGATTTCAGAATTAATTGTACAAATAACTGAATATCACTAAAACATTTATTCTCATTAGAATTTACTTAGCCAGACAGTTTCCTCTCCAACTTCCAGTGGAGAGATATGCACGACAAATAAATCTTTCAGCTTTAATAAAACTCTAACTTGAATTTTGTAATCTTAATTTAAGTTTCCATAGAGCTACAAACTCTTTCAGCTGCTGGTGAGTTTTAGTGCAGCCAAGGACAGAAACAGAAAGTGAAACAGAACTACAGTCAGAGTCCAACAGCAGAGAGGAAACACCGACATCACAGTTTACCATTAATTGTAATCTTCAGGCAGGAGTACCACTGATTACCATCATCATGGATAGTAAGTTAGATGCAGTTCTTTTATATGCACTGAGCATTGAGCTTAGACATGCACAGACATGCTTACAAGTGCCTGTAGTTTAATTTCAGTACCAGTGTAAACAGATTATTTTCAAGTCTTTCCTAAAGCAAACATGTTCGTACCTGAGAGGTTGATCAACATTTAATCATTCCTCCATATCTAATCTAATTTATACTGTTATAGCTAACATGCTACTGGGCTGTGTTTTGATATTCTAGCTAAAACACGTTCCTCGTTTTGTAACATGCTTTTCTGTTCATTTTTCCTGAGTGTGCTATGGCAGCCATCTTAGATATGCAGTAAGTGTTTCATTTATGAGAAGCACTGAAGATCATTTGGTGTAGGGGGGATTTTTCTTAATCCATATTATTTGCCCTTTCACAATAATATGGACCTTTATATTTTGTAAGTGACGATTTTGAGTAAAAGAATAGAAAATTATTAGAAACACATTTTAGCATACAAGTAAAGTTTTTGTAAATCTTTGTAATATGGGTGTGTCTGTCTCCCATTAAGGATTTCTGGATCTGGGTAAGCTCAGAGGGCAGCAGTTTTACTCACCAAAAACCTGAATTATAGAATATGATGGTGGACAATAAACAGAAGTAAATAAAGTATTTAAAATGAGCTCAGTCTTAAACATATGCAGCAGTAATATTAGTACATTTCCTTCTTATGAACAATTTTCCAATAATACACCTCATGTGTACTGAGGTGTTTTCATACTGTTCGATTATTTCTTTTCCAAAAGACATGGTTTAAAAAATTCCAGCAACACTTGTCATTTTCAACTAATAATAACTAATTTGGGGCAATATAGTAGGTTTTTTTTTTTTAACAATGTTAGTAGTATTTTTTTACTACACTCTTTCCTGGCACTTTCAGTCAGAAATACATAGATACATACATGAATAGATAGATCTATGCTGTGGAAAATTATTTGAGCCCTGACTGACCTTTTTTTCCCTCTTCTTTTTTGGCATAGATTTCATTGCCCAAGAGTACATAAAATTTTGGAAACTGTTTTCCTTCTCAACCAACTACAACTGTAAAATGTGAATGTAAATGTAGGGGGGGAATAGAATAGATTTCTGCATGTCTCCATTTAATGATAAAAGTTTGCAAAGAATGGATTAAAATAAGAAAACTCACCATTAATGATCAAAAAGGAAATCAGTGTAGTATCATACAAAGAAGAATGTTGGTCTGTTGCTGTCGTTTTTGTTGTCTGACTTGAATTGGGTGTGACGGCTGTATTTTGTTCACTTCTCACTTGGATGAAGTCCAATTTCTTGGAACTGTAGACAGGTTTGAACAAACCTGAAATTCCTGAAAACCTGATAAAAAAAGATTATGTTAGAAGTGGGATGTCTGACACTGGGGCTCCAAAGTCTGTTTCACTCTATTGAATTAATCCATTCATCTATTTTTTGTGTTTTTAAGCATGTTTTGATGAAGCAAATATTTGAGGTTAACTCATTTATTTATTCTATCCTGTACAGTTGTGTACTGTATTTATTCTTATTGTATCCTAATTTTTGCCTCATAACTTTTGCACTGTCCACTTCCTGCTGTGACAAAACAAATTTCCCACGTGTGGGACTAATAAAGGTTATCTTATCTTATCTTATCTTATCTTATCTTATCTTATCTTATTTTAAGGTTTTTATAAGTGATTTAGATCACTTGTGTTGAGATTTGAAATATATATTTTGAATGTGTATTTGTTGATTATATTGTTTTATATATAAAAGAAGGCCAGCTTTAAGACTAGACTCTGTTTTTGCAGACTATGAGCTCCAGACAGAGTGAAACTAAGTTCAGACAGAAGGGTGACAGGTTGCCCTGGCAACAGACTTTAGAAAGAGGAAGCTGCACAGGCAATGGCGTGTCCAGCGGGGGCACAGGCCACCCCCCCAACCAGACTGGCCACCCCAGGTGCCACCCCATAGGTAAAACAATAAAATTCAATCAAATATCAAATGTACGATTATGTTTTCACGGTGAAGCTCAGATATCCGAGTGTAAGTGAATGCAGCATCGGCTTCTGCGCTATG